CAAACAGAAGTTCCTCCTTCTGAACCCAAGCACTGACCATTAAAGGGGTTACTTGGGTTAAAAAACAGATTTTCTGAAAAGCCATTCTTGAGGGCTGGGGCCCTTCCTGTAGCTGCTGCTGGAGGATGGGGACAGGGGCACCTTGGGCAGTGTTCTGAACATCCCCTGCTCTTGAGGCACCAGCTGGAGGGCTTGGCTTGAGGAGTCACCACTGTGATGGGACCCAAAGCCAAGGGGAGAAGAGCGATCCAGCCGCTTCCAGGGTGGTTGTCACCAGGGTTTGTCCTTTCTGAGCAGCACTGATGGCCACTCTATTACCACTAAAAGGCTCATATGTAACCCCACTGGGAAAGACATGGATGGCAAAGTGCATAGGGAAGCATTTTGGGGTGAAAAATCCCCATGTGAGCTGCAGAGGGAGAGGCAGACCAGAGGAAATCGATGCTTTTTCCACTGCTAGGAGGCACATGGGGCTGTGGGTAAACCCCAGAGTGAAATGGGTTTTGAACAACAATATTTTCCTTAAATAAAATCACAATTTTCTAGTTTCTGCAGGGATGTCAAGACCTTTAAGAAAATGCCTGATTCTGTTCAATAACAATAAAGCTATTCTCAAGGTAATTTTCTAAGTAAAATCACCCATAAAAGCCCAGGTTGCATTAGCAACGTTTCTTTCCAGCAGTGTTGCTATCAAGGACTAAAAAAGGCAGCTGGGCCCTCTGCTCCCCTTCAGGCAGACAGCAGGCAGCACCTCCTTCCTCTCCTCAAATAATTTAAGTTAGCAGTGAAACATTCCTTGCAGGAAGCTCCTGCAGCTTCAGGTTCATGTGGCCAGTCAGCAGGAGAGGCTGGATGTGCATTTGTATTTACACTTCCACTGTTTACATCACTTATGAGGGGCTTCATAGTGCTTCTGTGGCAAACTGATCTCTCTGCTTTGGGCACTTGCCCTCCAATCACTCACCAAAATCGCCCAATATTTGGTGCTTTCATCTGCAGCTGATCCTCTGCTTCATTCCACCTTCCTGTTTCCTGCTGTTTCTCTGGGTTTGGTCCTTCCAGACCTGCTTTCTCTCAGACCTTCACAAAAAACCTTCAGCACTACAAAACTGCCCTGCCAGATGTCTCAGCCTGGCCAGAGCTGCCCTTGGCATCCTTCAGCATTTTCCATAAAACCAGAGCAGGACACCCAGACGGGGTCATTCCCTTCCTTTGAGCAGTGGAGGCAGCAGCTGCTGGAGGTGGTGGGAGGCCAGGGCTCCATAAACAAGGACAGGGTTTAGCAATGGGACACAGAGTGAGCTAATGAACAATTAAGTCAGAAGCTTTCACTGGAAAGCCATTTCCACCTCCAACAACTCCACATTCCCTGACCTAGCTGGGACAGCCCCAGGTGCCGGATCACTGATATCACCCCATGGAGCATCCCCAGCTCCATCCCCCTGCCCATCAAGCACATCAGCTGGCACTGCTCCCTGGGGCTGTGGATCATTTGGGGAAGCGGCTTTTGAGCGATTGCTTGCAGGACTTTGCTCACAGCTCACTCACCCCAGCGATTTGGAAGTGAGGCGCAGGGCCCTCCTGTGCTGGCGGACAGACAGACAGACAGACAGACCTGGGTGAGCCCCTGGGGTTTGCAGGGCATGGTCTGGGAGCACTCCCTGAAAGCCTGAGGGAGCTGTTGGTGTTGCAGACGTCTGCCCCGTGCCCATGGCCCTGCTGATTTCCATGCTAAAGACATTTCCTGGATGTGTGTGCCACCAGGGAAAGCCGCTGTCTCCGACTCAGCTCTATTCCTGGAAGAGCAGCAGCAGCCTCTGTGCTACTCCCAATACTGCATTTCCAGGACCTGCTCTGTGGCTTTGGGAATCCTCCTCCCAGCTCCCCACATCCCCCCTGGCCAATTAGGGAAGATGCCTGGTGGGGGTGATGCCCCCCTCCCCTGTGTGCCGAGGGACCGAGCCATCCCTTCTTGGCCTTGGGAAGCGCGGTTCACAAGCCAGTGACAGAGGGATGGAATGCAAATATAGCATTTCTTGTAAAGTAAATTAAGCTAACAACGAGGTAACAAACCGCTGTTAATATTAGATTAACTTGTTTGGCAAGATATGAAATGGGGTGAGCTGGATTGCCGGTGGCGGAGTGCTCAATAGCGCTAATGCTGCTCAGGGAAGTATAACATCCCTCTGACAGACAGGGGCATGCTCCAAAAATAAAATAAATTAAGTCTGCAGGAAGAGCCAGAATCTGTGCAGCAATTACACCAGCATTAAAGATGAATGGAGACGAAGCCTAAGATTTTGATTGCCTTTAAACACTGGCTTGTTTTTTAATCTCAAAATCAGACTGTGCTGTGATCAGCCATTAGCCCCGACCACAAAAAGAGAAAGAGACAGAAGATCCTAGATTTTAACATCCATAGTATGAACTTAAAATTCCCCTTTGATGTAAGATAAGGAGGCAAATGGCAGATAATGCAGAAGTTAAAGCCAGTTGAGTGCAGTTGGCAGCTGGGGCTGACTTTGGGAACGATGGAGGCTTGGGCAGAGGGGTCAGCGGCAGCCGTGTCCTCAACACAGGGACTGAGGCACAGGCTTAAATGTCATACTATATGCCAGTGGTCACTAAACTGATTAAGCAGTGGTTATCTTTAGCAGTAAAAAGGCTATCTGCTAATACTAAATTATTAGCAGCTAAAATGCCATTTACTCTGCTCTGATTCCTTGAATGAATATTTATGCCAAGTGATGACTATAACACCATCAAAAGGTTTCCGTGCTCTGCTCCGTAGAGTGGAAGCGATTATTCAAGAGCAGGCCTGTACTCCAGCCCTTGTTTCTATTAAGCAAATTTGCAGCATTCAGACAAGAATTCATGATTGCGCTGTCCTCCTGGGATTTTTATTTTTAAAGGTGTCCCACCTCCTACACTCTTTGGGGCACAGGGTGTGGCAGATAGGCCTTGTCTGCTGTGCAGACACAGAAAAGAGGGACACAGATGCTGCAGTTTCTCCCTTGTATTTTTTCATTTTAAAATATAAGACAATTAGATATTTGCCCCACCCTATTCAGCACTGAGAAGTTGTGTCCTGCCCCAGGCATTCCTCCCATCCACCCAGTCTCCAGCTGGGGCTTTTGCGTGAGCCACCATCATGAAATTCCTCTTTAGGTATCAGGAATCAGATCAGCAGCAATAGTGACAAATCAAGGGGACTGCCCATCAGAAATTAAGCCCCTGCACCCCAGCAGGGGAGCAGTGCCTGCATTTCACAGCAAGGGCAAGTGCAGGGAGGTAATGGGAAGCCACTGCTCCTGAGTCATGGCCCATAGGGTAAATAAGCTACCTTTCTCTGAAGGACTCAATTTCTAATCTGGTACCAAAACCCTCCTTAAGAATCTGAACTGAAACTGAACAGCCCCTCCAGCTTGTTTGGTGAGTGGTTTTTGTTTGGTGAGTGGTTTTTGTTTGGCTTTACTGCTCCCCTCCTCACCACAGGACAGCAGCCTTGCCCTGCCATTGTGTGCTGAATTGCAGCAAATCCCACGGGCAGGCAGGCAGGCAGGGATCCATCAATCCAGAGCACAGGCAGGTGCAGGGGCTGTCTGGCAGCCCATTTCAGCAAGGAATGGAAACACTTGGGCAACAAGCTGCTCCTTCCGTAGCCCCAGGGTGGCTGCCTCCAACAGCCTCTACAAAAAGAGCATCAACTCTACCGTTTCTCAAAAGACAACTTCCCCCCCACCCAAAAAAGCACTAAAACAGAACAGCAGTTTAAACACCGCATATCCAAAGGCAGCTCTAAGTGGCTCTTTAATTGCTATTCCATGTTTATGGGAATAAAAAGGGATGAGGTCACACATTTTATACTGGGTCTCCCAACCCAAAACATGTTTGTGAAGCAAAATCACTGAATCAATCTACATGTCTGAGGTAGCTCTAGATGACAGGTGATATTTTGAAGCATGCTAAGTGTCTGGTGGTGTTTTGCTTCTGCTTAGCCATTATTCAGCACAGGTGTACATAAAAGCATTTCATGCAACAGGCAGAGCAGCACCAAGCTGCACTGCATCTGGCATTTGCAATTCAGAGAACACACACAAGCGACCCAGGACCAGCAACCAATTAAGTCACATCAGAAAAAAAGTACTCGGTGTCTATTTATTAAAGGAAAGGGGGGTAAATCTAGGAAAGGAAAGAAGACAAAATAAATAGAATTGCAGCCATCCTTTACAGCTACTGGTGCACTATATTAAAGTGACACTCACTATACAAAGAAATGTGTTTGATACAGTCCAGTGGGTTGCACATGAATTGCATAACCTTGAAAATCATTGCACAAAGCATCGCAGCAGGAACACAGTTCAGAATTTTTTCTCCGGGAGATGCTTCAAATCTGATCGCTTTTATTTCGTGGGAGGTCAAAGCACCTGGCACAGAGTGAGCAGAAAGGGCTGGGAGCAGGGATCTGCTGCATCAGCGCCCGGTCACGTCCCAGCCCTGACATCAGCTCCCGCAGCAGCTCTGACCTGCACAAGTGATGCCCCACGGGAAAATCCCACTGCCTAGCAAAGCCTTGGAATTAATATTCTGATCAATGGCCAGGCACCTGTTGGCAGGGCTGCAGGGAGCCTGTTCCTCGCAGCCCACACTGGAGACAGCGGATCAGGCAGCCAGCAGGAATTCCATGGCAGTGCTGTGTCTGAATCCACAAGGAGCCTCTCAGCCAGCAGCCCAGCAGGGCACAGCAGCCCTGCCAGCCATGCCCACGGTTCCCAGCCACCACCTGCCCCCAACTTGTTCCCCCCATTATCCAGGGAAGCAGGTGGTTGGATGGAAGGCTCCCCAACCCTGCAGCAGCATTTCCCCAGTTATTTCGAGACAACCTGCCTCTGCTGTGATCCATGCAGTTTCCAGGGAGCTGTGTACACGTTTCCAACAGTCTAAAGCACAGGAAATACAGGAATGGCTTTTGCCACATGGGGAAGAAACCACGGCAAAGATGACCAGGAAACATTCATAATTTTTAATTCACACCAGTAATAAAATTGCATTACATTTTTCATAAAATAAATGTTCCAGTTTATATACAGAAAACAGACTGTACAGAGCCCTCCCCCAGACCCCAAAAACTCACAAACATACAGGCAATGCAGTGCTCAGCTAAGCAGGCACAACTGTACATCTAAAATTGTAACTGCTTTGTGTTGGGGGGGAAAAGTACTACAATGTATATAGTCCTCTCTGGACCAAGAATTAAAAAAATATTGCAGGCAAGCTGACAGACGCCCTCGCTGCTCGTGCGGCCAAGCGCCCATCCCACAGTGCTCCAGCCAGGCAGGGGCTGTTATTGAACCTGGGACTCGAAGCTCCCGTTCAGCTGCCCTTCCTCATAGTCCATCTGACACAAGATCATGTTGTTCTTCAGGAAAAATTTGTCTCCCACGCAGAATCTGGAAGATAAAAAAAGGATTGGAGGGTGTGAGTATGACCGGACGTGAGAACGGGGAGAGTTTGAGGTGGTTTGGGTCCGGAGGCGACTCTGGTGAGCAGAGCTTGATTTCCAGCTCTGCCAGTGCTTCCCCCCTTGCCACCCCAGGGTTTTGCTGTCCCTTTCCCTGGCACATCCGTGCTTGGCTCCAGGAGGAGGCTGGGAGCAGTTCAGGGATTTGTCCCTGCAGACAGGAGATGTGGGCTCTCCAACCAGGAAGCCAAGCAGGTGATATTACACAGAGCCTATTTGAAGTTTTTGCTGGTATCCACATTTCCACAGCTCCCTCGGGTGAAGCAGTATTTACACTAATTTCCAGGCAAGGACTGGCTATTAAGTCCTCCCTCACCCCCTTGTGTACAGTGCTGAACAATAAATAGAAATTTCTCGGTGGCTGGACTCCTAACCTTTATCTTCATTGAGCGAAGGGCATTGCTCTCTATATACCATGTAAATTGTTCTGTTTGTCTTGAAGTTGACAGAGAAGCTTGTGATATTTAACAATTTTATTTGACCATTAAGGTCAAAAAAGTTCCACATATAAGATCGGAGAGGTGTGAATTGACAGCCAATAGCTTTTTCCGCCCTGCCTGCTTGCCCAGGAATCAGAAGCTAATCTTTACTTCTTAAGATAACAAATAATGTTCTCTACACCCAATTCAGGGGCTGGTTTTTGTCCATACCACTGGCAGGGCAGTGACAGACGAGAGCACAGGCTGCCCCAAGGGCTGAGTCTGAAATGAGCCTCAGGCCCCTAAAGCAGAGAGACCCTGGGTCAGGCACTGTGCCTCAGGACAGCTCTGCACTGAGGGGAAGGGGTAGGTGCCAGCCTCTGGCAAGGCAAATATCTACAGGAAGATCACTGGAGGGGACCCCATCCCCAGGAGACTTAGCAGACCTCAGATGCCCATTTCCCCTGCTCCCAGGCAGAGCTTTGGCACTGCCTACCCCTTGTCTAAAGTGCTTTCATCATCTGTAACTCAGGCACCTTCAGGCAGAGCATCTCCATAAAAGTGAGTATTTTCTGCTAAAAGAACAGGACTGATAACTTTAGAGCTTCTTTACAGGCCCAGCACAGGCACAAGTTTTCTCCAACTGGACACCTGCAATTAAGCTGATTAATTTGCCAAGTTGGTACAGAGAGAACTGGCCATTGGTTCACACTTTATAGGATTTCACTGAAGACCTTCCATCTTCTTCCCTCTGTGGCATATGCTCTAGTAGTTCTGAAATTCAACCTTTTCTGCATATTTAAAAGATAAAGATTATTCCTAATTTCAACTAAGAGCTTTTATGGTAAAAACTGTACTGCACGCACTCTCCTTAACACCACCTGCCCCAGGAGCAGGTTTACTCACAACAAATAACAGACACAGCTGCTTGCTTTTCACTACTTATTCCTACCTTAAGTGCCATATAAATTTCGAAGAAGAGAAATGCAAAAACTACTCTTGCCACACCTGGTTTTGGGCATAGAAGAACCAAAGGAAGAGCTGGAGAATTTGGGAGTTGGAAAGTGTGGGGGTGTGTACAAGCACATGGGAACTGAAATGGTCCACAGGGGTACCCTAATGTGATGTGAAGTTTTGGGAGAAGGGTTTGATTCACTGGAAAGGCAACTGTTTCTACCTGCCAGTCCTGCAAACCCACCAGTAAACTGGGATCTCTTCAGCTGATGCACCACAACTGGAAACCTCAGGCCCAGTTTCACCCTGCCAGCCCCCAGGCTCAGAGCAGGGATGTTGCAGAGCCTGTCTGGGCAATCAAATTCCAGCCAGCAGCAGTGAGAAATAGGTGCTGAACCTACTCTGCCACTCCTTAAGAGTGATTTTCTTCCCAGCAAACCCCACTTCAGATAATGGCAAGAAAAGGAGCTGGATTTCCTGAAACCTTTGTAAAACTGACTTGTCAGCCAGTCACAGCAGTGACCAGCTGTTATCCAGCACTGTGATGACCATGACAACTTTAGAACAGTTTAAAGCATGGCAGGATGAGTGGTAATGCACGACTTGATGCAAAACTGATGTTTTAGGGAATGAAAGTGATGAAAACATTGCACACTTGGTAAAAATATTAGAGATTTTGCTGTGATGGATTTAGCACCCTATACAGAGCCCAGCTATAGAAGGGCAAGGAAACTGGAAGAGAACTGAGGAAAGGTCTTCATCATCAAATCTCTTCAGAGCTGAAGAACAAGACGGGGTTTCTGGTGAGATTTCCAATTCAGAACCAGAACTGGCATCCACCTCTGCAATTCTGGCTTTAGGGTTACTCAATCTCATGTTCTCAGTTCAGCATCCATGCTGTCTGTTACAGGATCACTTCCATTCTGCCCTTTCAAGCGCAGATCTCCACAAAATAAGTAATAAAAATTGGCAGCCCTCTGACCTCAGCCAAAAGCAAGAACCTACACATAGAGCCCATCTTCCAGAACAGCTCAGCCCCTCACAAACTGAGCAAATTCCTTGAGCACCACAGCACAACTCTGCCAGAACTGGGGGATTACCTGCCCTCTCCTGCCAGGCAGTGACAGCCCTGCAGGTTGTCTGAAGGACAGAGTGGGACCATGCTGGCAATTGAAGAGGGAGGTGCTTTGGAGCCTTTGAAATAAAGGGTGAAATTTAAAAGAAGTTACTGAAAATGAGAACTAGGCAGCACTAGGATTTTCTGGGAGAGAAGAAGGGTGAAATAGGGGTTTGAGGAGACACACAGCCTGCAGACTCCAAGGCCAAGCAGCACTCCTGACTGTGCAGCCCAGAGCCTCTGAAAGGACATTTCCAGCCCCAGGTTCGGTGTGGAGCTTGGGAGCAACTTCTCCTGCCCGGGAATCATCAGGAGGCTGAAAAGAGCTGATCCCTGATCCTGAGGGCTGAGCCTGACAGCAGCCGCCACACTCCCGATGTGGAGACAGATCCCAGAACTGACGGGCGGGATGAGCATCTCGGGGATGGGGTGGGACCGCTCTGTGCTCAGGAGCCTCGGAACAAGCCCGGGCGGCCGGCAGGGCCCGCAGCGAGCCCAGGGCCGGGAGCCACTAGATGTCACTGCCGCCCCGGCTCTGCCACCGCGCCCGTGCGGGGACAGCCCCGACGGGGCTCTGTGCCTGGAGCACACACTGACAGAGGGTGCAGCACCTCATCCACCCCCACCCTGCTCTGCACACCCCCCTGACACCAAATCCACCCCCGGGCTGAGCCGCTGGCGGGAGCACAGCCAGACAGCATCTCCCCAGCTCGGGACAAGCTGGCAGGGGCTGGCATCCACACACGTACGGCTGCTCCATGAGAGATCCCACTGAGACTCTTTTCTAGGCTGTTTAAGTCAGGATTTTAGCTTGACTTTTACAGAGTTGGGTTCTCCATCTTCCCACAAGTTTTGTCATCTCTCTCACACTTTCCCATGGGATGAGGTATTGCATCCTAGTTTCATCTTTGGGAAACACAGCCACAGATCCAGAACAGGAACACCAGCACAGCCCTTGACCCTGGCATCCCCCTCCGCAATTCTGACTTTATGGTTACTTAATCTCACGTTCTCAGTTCAGCATCCATGCTGTCTGTTACAGGATCACTTCCATTCTGCCCTTTCAAGCCCAAATCTCCACACAGTAAGTCATAAAAACTGGCAGCCCTCTGACCTCAGCCAAAAGCAAGAATCTACACCTAGCCCAGCTTCTAGCCACTACAGCCTGACTAAGCAAGCAATAAGAACTGCAAGCAGTTCCAGGTCAATCTTGGACAAGGATGGACAGCTGGATGCATCACAAGGTGACAAAGTATCACATCTGGTTCTGTGGGCTTCCATTCTGCCCATGATGCTCAACAAACATGGTGCTTGCTGGGAAGAGTTTTCACAGCCCTCCCAAACTCAACTGGCTACAGGTAGTTCAAGTGAAAACACTGTGCATGGCCCTTTATTATACTCCCTGAGGTCCATCTTCCACCCAGCAGAAATAAATAAGCCCCACTCAAAATTATACCACCAAGATCCCCTATTAATTATACAACAACTAAATTGATTTGTTCCTAGTGTTGGAAAGGGCTTAGCCAGAGTATTTTTCTCCTTCCTGTCCCTTCTCTTTATACTTCTTCTTTCCCACCCCCGGTTTTGAGCATGTCAAAAACATGATTTAAGTGAGATAATGTCAGTTTGCCAGAGGAGGTCCATTCTCCATCATCTGCCTTCTGCAAAGAGGGCAGCTCCTGAAAGGATGCTGGAGCAGTTTGTTTTATTCAGCAGCAGCTGGACAGTCTGTGTCTGTGTCCTCCCCCTTGCCCCTCCAATTCCCACCAGCTCCAAGGGGATTTGCAGTCAAAGGGCTACAGGTACTCACATGGATCCCCCAGGTCAGCCTGGCAGCCCAGCCCCAGCCCTGCCCCCAGGCTGTGAGCCCAAGCTGGGCAGTGTGCATCAAACATTTCCCCTGTTTCACAGGCAAAGGTATAAATTAGTTTGTGTGTACAATAACTGTGTCCTCACCGCTGGTTGCAGAGCTGACAGGCAAAGCAGTCCAAATGGTAAACATTATCTCTGGCCCTCATCACCATCTCAAAGGCAGGGATCAGTTTACTGCAGGCAGCACAATTCCCGGTGGTACCAAAGAGCCTGCCAAAGAAGCACAATCATTAGAAGCCATTTTAATTAAATGGTGGAAGGACTAATTAAGTGTAATTAGCAGTATCAAATACTGTATTGCACCAATAAATAGAAGTTGCAGTCTCCATTTCACTGACCAACCAGCATGCAGGAACTTGGGATAAAAATGCCTGGTGAGCAGGCTCCGATCATCGAGATGAAACTTCATTTGCTTTGTGAGCCTAGGGCTAATTTGCTGTCTAATGGAGAAAAGCATTAAACACTTAGAGCACTATTTTGGGGCTCACAAAATTTCAGTCAAAAACTATCTGCCTCTCTGCAGCAGCGGGGTAGGTGCTGGGAGCTGCCCGTGCTGCTCCCCAAGGGCTTGCTGCGCTTGGCCGCAGCCTGGCGGAGGGGCAGGCTGGCAGCAGGACACGCAAGTCCTGCAAACTTTGCCAATCCTGGCAGGCAGCGCTGTAACAGAGCTCAGGAAGAACCTCACTTACCTGCTGCTTACAAAGAAAAAGCACAGTTTCTCTTGCAATGAGTGCACAGCATTTCACCAGGCATCTCAGAGAGCAAGCCCTCCTCCCCGGCTGTGTCTCCCCGGCCCTCCCGGGAGCCAGCTAAGCCCTTCCAGGGCGGCCTGAGCAGCACGCTCAGCCGTTCCACTTCAGCTCCCCGCCCTCCAGGACAGCCCCTCAGCACTGGAAGCTTTGCCATTTCCATCTTGGCTTTCACTATCTGTCTCCCCAGATGTCTGCTGCTGTTGCAGCTCCTGCGGGGGGACTCGAGCACGACTGCGGCATCCTTCCCGCGGCCCCTTGCCCGAGGTGTCCCTGCAGACCCTGTGTGTGCCAGGGGCTGACAGAACCGAGGTTCACCCCACCACAGGTCACATGTGGTTAGCCACTTGGCCTAGGGGATGACATAAATGGTGTTTTGGGGGTGATGAGCCTCAAGAGGTGCAATCCCTGCTGGCCATTAGCTCTGTGCACGCAACGCGCCGCTGCCCGCCGACAGAGCTGGGCTCGCGGTTTGTTTCGAGCCATCGGTTCTGGCTGATTCCACAACACGCAGATGAGAAGCATCAGGAAAATCTATAACCAATTTCTAAACCTGCAATTTGCCAGGCAAATCAATACTAATTATTACTGGCCAGTAATTGTGAATTAAAACACCCAGCAGTGTTATAGAAACCTCCACACAACTCTCCCACCCTCCTACAGTGCTGTGCTCCCGAAGTCAGCTCGCTCTCCAGCTGTAAGAAAGCCCACCTTTATTTTTCTTTAGAACTGGTATCAGGGGTCTTTCATTAGCCTGGCTGGAAAATCCCAGGCCTTTCTATGAAGAAACAGCACTACATTTTTTTCCCTCAGAGCTAAATCACACAAGCCAAAACAGAAACACTCATGCAGGACGGAAAATCCGCAAAGGGAGTACCAAAATTTCTTCCCCCATGATTCCATCCTCTGAAGGCTGAAAGGCAGAGTGAAATCCCAGCTGTATAATTTGCACCAGCAAAAGGCAGTCCCTTTCTCCCTGCAGGCTGACCCCTCTTGCTCCTGCCCCACAGGCAGGGGAGGCAGCTGGGCACGGGCCTCGGCTGCCCAACGCCAGCAGACCAGACTGCAAAAATGCAGCTCTGAAAAGCATCCAGGTCTCCATCCTGGAACACCCTGGCTCTCATTCAGCACCCACTCACAAATCAAGCCATTACTGCAGACATCCCTCCCCTCCTCAGCCTAGCTGCCCCGTTCCACTTGGGCACAGCAAAGCCTGACAGCTTTTGCCAGGATTTTCCCATTTCCCATAAAACCAGGCATCCGTTTTTAGAGTACCCAAGTCACAGCAAACTCAAAAAAATGAGTCAAATGCATTAGGCAGGGAAACTGGGAGGTTAATCCTAGATTTGCTCTGTGCCCAGCACTGCTACATGCACAAGTATAAAATATCCATTATTCATTAGCATCACAGTTGTGTGGAGCTCAATCTAGATTAAACAAAATAAAGGGGCCCCAGACAGCACCATTTGCATTGTTAAGCAGGTGCTTTTCTTCAGCCTTCAAATAGGAGACTTTTCTAAATGGAAATGATGGGGAAATTTGGACAGATGTTCACTTAACTATTTAAACAGTTAGCTTAAGAAACATGAAAAATGTATTTGGCATCGTATTCACCTGTCTCCTTTCAGGGGTTTTGGGGGTAAACCAATTGTTAAACAGCTTTGACTGTTTGCATAAGATCTGAAGCTTATGTTCTGTCCAGCTGAAATCATGTTGCCTTCTAATGTCTACATAACGTGGCTTCCAGCGAGTGAGAGTGCTAATCTTTGTCTCTTCTATCAAGTTTCACAGTCCTCCATACCCTCCCTTTCCCAACAGATGAACATTTCACACTTATTCTAGCACCTCCTAATTTTAATCTGCTTTTCAGGGAGTGATTTAGAGCCCCATGTATTCACCATGCTTCTAAAAATACGCTGTAACTTGTAGCTCAGTGAACATGACATTTTTTTAATCTGTTGAAAGGAAATGCAAAATGAACAGAATCTTTTGCCCTTTTTTTTTGTTTGCTTGTAGAAAACCTGCCACCTCTGATATCTGTGATATCTATCTCTGATAGATCCAGAAGCTACTTGAGCGGAAACTTCCTGAAGTGGGGAGTTTAACATTATTGGAAGGAGGGAGAGAAGATAAGGAGCAGGAGGAAAAACCTTCCGCCCCAAGCCCCATCTGAGGTTAAATTTAAAATAACCCCAACATGAACAAACTGATCTGCATTCTGTCCCCCAGACACCTTCATAACAGATGCAACACTCTCTCACACATTCACACACACGAAGTTGAAGCAGATTAGAAAAATCTATCAGAAGATGTTTAGCCTCTACTTACCAGCTCGGAGCCATTGGCATAAAACAAGCTGGAAATACAGAAAGTTTTCAGTTTGGGGTTGTTTTGCTTCTTCTAAAAAAACCCTATTTATTCACTTCCCTTTGAAGTTAAAAGGCAACAATTTTTAAGTACAGATTTATTCCCCTTTATGTAACAGGAAGATCCAGCCAGCTTGTAAATAAGCATAGACTATGCAGATTTAAAATTTAGCACAATTAAACTTTTACCCTGTGGTAGTAATTATGTTTAATGGCTCTTAGCCTGAACTTAACCACGTCTATTGTTGTCAGCCAGTCTAAAAGCAGGAGTTTGTCCAAGGACAATTTTCTGTAGTTTATGGGCACACTAAAAACCCCGCTATGCCCTGTTCTCATTGGCCATTGATGTCAGTGTGTATAGTAAAAATTAAAGCTAATTGGCATACAGGAGCAGCCCTGAATGCAAATGAATTTATGGGAAAAGAAGGGAGCGCTCCTGGAAGCAGTAGGCAACTGCCAAAGGATGGGTTTTATGCAGTCTTGTCTGGGCTAAAGATCAGTCTTGTGCTTGGTGATCCAGACCTCAGCAACTCTGTGAGTACCTCTCAAATTAATTCAAACTATAGTAATGTCACAGCACCCTGCAGGGTTTTCTTTTTTGAGGGGAAAAAGAATGTTAAAGGGCTCTTACAGTAGGGAAAACAGCAAGAAACTTTTCATGCAAAAATGTTGAGTTTAGCACCTTTTAACAGATTTTTTTGTTCAACCAAGATGTTCAGGGGGCCTAAACTGAGAAGCTGTTTGCCTATTTCTGTCTCCACTAGGAACAACAATCTGGTTTAGTCATTGCCTACAAGGAGAGAGTCCCCATTTCTTCTCGCCCCCTCTAGACTGGTGTCTGACTAGATAGCAGCTTGCAATCAGAAGAGAAGGAGAAAATCTCCCCTCTGCAGAAAGAGCAAAAATTTTGGAGCTGTTGACTTCATATGAGACAAAAAAAGAGGAAGCAGGACAAGCACATAAAAATAATGAATGGTACAGAAAGGAAAGGTTGGCAGTGTCAACTGTATTTTTTTAAACACAAGAACAAAACAAGTTCAAAATTCAAACAGCTGAGTGGAGACTAATAATTCCCCCCCCCCAAAAAAAAGTTTTTGTCAACACTGAAAGATAAGAATTATGAATGGAAGGAGGACTAAACACTAACCTACAGATAAATATCTACATTTGTAGATATTATGTATGACTGTATATTTTTCTACTTATTCATATATCCAGATTATCTGGATATACAAGTTTCAGAAGAGCTATGGAACTCCATGCTCATATCCTCCCCAGCCAGAAGGTAAAATAGGTTTTTCCCTACACCTATCCTATTTGCTTGCTGCTGTTTATTTCTTAGTTTCATCAGGGCCTGCTGTAGAACCAAACTTGCTTAATGTAACTGAAATCCATCCTCATGAAAAGAAACAGTTTTGCCCCTACCTTTTGAGACAAACCAACAACTGGTTTTTCAGTGAGGGTGGCTCTTAAATACTGCAAACAGTATCTTCCCCATCTGTGGATATTAGAAATATGCTGAGCTACAAGTGTGATTTGACTGGAGTATTGAATATACCAATAAATGCAGGGAAAGCCTGAACATCACTTAAAAAGATGAAAAGGATTATCTTAAAAGCAACTTCAGATAACTTTGCTGTAATCAGCCTTTGTGTAATATCAGAGAAAGCCTCAGTGATAGGAGATCCTTCAGCATGGTAAATACATTATTAGCTGGTGCACCCTCCTATCCAGGACACTGCTGGCAGTGCTGCAGTGGGAAGTCATGTCAGCTGAAGGAAAGGAAATGCATTTTGATACTAATGAAGTTGGTCAAGCTGTCCTCTCATGAAGCCTTCAAGTTCAATCCCAAAGAATTTAGATCTCGCATGCCAAAGGGTTTGGCATTCAAGGACAGCACAGAGGGGGAGTTGAACCAGTACAAAACAGCCCCTGGCCAAGTGACCGCGCTGGTGCAGAGACTGCTGGGCCTGAACTTCAAGGTTGCTCTAGGGAGTCCTTTTTCTCCTGAAGGACACATCTGAAAGTTCACTTATTTTCACTCCTTTGGCCTCTCTCTCCATATTCTCAGAGGGTATTTACAGAGATGCTGGGA